GTCGATTACCTTCTCCAGGGTCTCACATATGAGATCTAGTACATTTAGGAAATTTAAAGTCAATACAACAAACATAGAAATTCTGTTTTGCAAAAATAAGGTTTTCTCGTTTCTCTCTCTTTTTCTGATTTTGTGGTGTCGAAATTGGGGGTTGATTTGTGGTGTACTGAAAGTGTGGGTGTATGTGGTGGTGGCGGGTTTAGTATTTTGTTGATGGGATTGTGGCAATAGTGTGGTAGTGTTGGAAAAAATGGTGGATTTTAGCAAGCAATGGTGGTACGATGGTTGATTAGAGGTGGTAGTGGTGAGTGGTTTTTGGAGCAGGCGGTTGTGGGATGCGACGCGACGGCGATGTATGCGGTAGTGGTGCTGATGAGGTAGTACTGCTGACCAGTGCGATTGTTTGGTGCCCCGTGGTTGATCTAGGATAAGTGGCATGGGGTGAGTAGCGTGTGATCAATTATTTATAATCATACTATCGCATTTTTATGTCCACAAGTGTACGAAACATAACAAGTAATATAGTGGATTAATGAGTTCGAATTTCGTTCTCACGATGTCTATACTTTAGGACTTAGTGCTTGTTTAATAGAGATTTTGTTAATTAATTTTTTGACTATTAGGGATAAAATGGGTCATATTTATGAGGGAAGAATTCAAAAATGACGATTGGAATAGTGAAATAACGGCAAAAAATGATGTTAATTGAATTAAAATCTCTACCAAACATGCTCTTAATCTAATTTTTCTAACTCATATTTGATGAAAGCAAACGAAGAATTATAAGTTATTATTTTTTGGTTTAAACACTTGAAATTACTCAAAATGCACATAAAGATTTATTTAGAATTCAGAAAATGAAGGAATATTAGGGCAAAACAATTCCACATATGATCACCTTTAAGTCTTAATTCAAATTTGAAAAATATAATATAGTGTTTGATCGAATTCTTCTATTATATTTAAATTACCCTGCTCGAGATCTCATTGAGCCTATTTAACAAATTCAATCTCATATCTCTATGCGAATCAACCTTTGTTAAATGAGATATTAGATTTAAGAATTCATATAATGACCACATTAATTAGTGTAGGTATCTAATTAGTATAAGTATCTTTACACGTTATACTAATTTACCAAAATTTACTATAAAATTTAAATCTCAAACTCAACTCTCAATTCGTAAAAGATAAAAAAAAGATCAAATTAGTGATCAAGTAATTCGACGCATTAAATTCATAGCAAAATCAACAAATGTAAAATAAAATAACAAGAATCTCGAATAAAAGAAATAAAGATCTCAAGTAGATTATATTGTTCGCCATAATATGAAATTAGTTACTTATAATGCAAAAAAGAAAAAACAAGAAGTTCGTAAAACATACAAAAAATATCAAATTAGTGAGCAAGTAATTTGATGCATTAAACTCATAGCAAAATCATCAAATGTAAGAAGAATCTTGAAGGTCTCAAGTATATTACATTGTTCGCTATAATATGAAATTAGTTACTTATAATGCAAAAAAGAAAAACCAGAAGTTGGCGTTGAATATTTCATTGGATTTTGAATAAAAATGTGGAAAATGAGATTAATCTTGCCCCAAGATCTTCTTCCTTTTCCGATCAATACTTCAAAACTTGAATTTCTTGATGTTTTTCTCCTTTGATTTCCCCTATTCAATCTCCATTTTTATTATCTATTTTTTCAATATGTGAAAATCCTTCAAAAGTGTCAAAAACTTGTATTTATACTCGTCACCACGTTTGTATCAAACGTAGGGTTTTTATTGTGACACCCCGATCTTAGGCTTCGGGGGTCACGTACTAAACATAGTAACTTCTGCCTTTGGTACATGTAAATACTCTTAAATATAAGTATTACATGTTATAAAACTATTTTCAATTTGGTAAAATATCTCTCATGAAATTTAATGGCCAGCAGAAGTGCATGTCGACGTGGAATTAAACTTTAAAAAAAAAAAAGACTCGGTACTGCCACAGTTAGTTAGGGCAGCAATTTCAACTATTTTTATAAAATTCATCCCAACTCCATTTTCTATGAAATTTGCGACATTAGAAAGATAATTTCAAGTAGTTTCCTAGGTTAAAATATGAGAGTTTTCCGAGATCATATAGTATGGACGTTTTACTGAAAACAGTGTAGTGTTACACAGAAAATTCAAATTGACTCTTCAACGTTTAAAAATTCATATCTCAGGCCAC